TACTCCATTTCCTGTATATCTTATTTCCCAGTTGTATGTAATAAACAAATTTTGTTTTATTTTTTGTTTTTAAAAATTTGGGTTCTAAATTTTCTCCTTTCCTCCCTCCCCACCCACTCTCATTGAGAAGGCAAGCAACTCGATACAGGTTATACATGTGTAGTCATGCAAGACACTTCCATAGTAGTCACGTTGTGAAAAACTAAGTATATTTCCCTTCATACTATCCTGCCCCCCATTTATTCTATTCTCTTTTGACCCTGTCCCTCTCTAGAAGTGTTTGCTTCTGATTACCCCCTCCCCCAATCTGCCCTCCCCTCTATAATCCTCCAGCTCTCTTGTCCCCTTTCCCCCCTATTTTCTGTAGGGTAAGATAGATTTCCATACCCAATTGAGTGTGTGTTATTGTCTTCTTAAGCCAAATCCAATGAGAATAATATTCACTTATTCCCTCTCACCTTTGCTGTTTCCCCTCCACTGTAAAAGTCTTTTCTTGTCTGTTTTATGTGAGATAATTTACCCCATTCTACCTCTTCCTTTCTCCTCCCAGTATAATCTTCTCTCATCCCTTAATTTTATTCTCCAGATATCACCCCTTCATCTTCAACTCACCCTGGGCCCTCTATTTATCTATGTATCTATATACATACATATAATTTTTTTCCTTCCAACTACTCTAATACTGACAAAGGTCTCATGAGTTACAAATATCATCTTTCCATGCAGAATGTAAACAGTTCAACCTTAATCAGTTTCTTATGATTTCTCTTTCCTGTTTACCTCTTCATGTTTCTCTTGAGTCTTGTATTTGAAAGTCAAATTTTCTGGTCAGCTCTGGTCTTTTCATCAAGAATGCTTGAAAGTCCTCTATTTCACTGAATGTCCATTTTTTTCCCCTGAAGGATTATACTTAGTTTTGCTGGGTAGATGATTCTTGGTTGTAATCCTATCTCCTTTGCCCTCCAGAATATTATATTCCATGCCCTGCAGTCCCTTAATGTAGAAGCTGCTAAATCTTGTGTTATCCTGATTGTGTTTCCACAATACTTGAATTGTTTCCTTCTAGCTGCTTGCAATATCTTCTCCTTGACCTTGGAACTCTGCAATTTGGCTACAATATTCCTAGGAGTTTTCCTTTGGGGATCTCTTTCAGGAGATGATGGGTGGATTCTTTCAATTTCTATTTTGCTCTCTGGTTCTAAAATATCAGGGCAGTCTTCCTTGATAATTTCTTGAAAGATGATGTATAGGCTCTTTTTTTGATCATGGTTTTCATATAGTCCAATAATTTTTAAATTCTCTCTCCTGGATCTATTTTCCAGGTCAGTTGTTTTTCTAATGAGATATTTCACATTGCTTTCTATTTTTTCATTCTTTTGAATTTGTTTTGCAATGTCTTGATTTCTCATACAGTCACTAGCTTGCTCCATTCTAATTTTTTTTTTACTTTTAGGCAATTATGGTTAAGTGACTTGCCCAGGGTCATAGAGCTAGTAAGTGTCAAGTGTTTGGTCTGAGGCCAGGTTAGAACTCAGGTCCTTCTGATTTCAGGGCCAGTGCTCTATCCACTGCACCACCTAGCTGTCCCCCTCCATTCTAATTTTTAAGGAAGTATTTTCTTCAGTAAGCTTTTGGACTTCCTTTTCCATTTGGCCAATTTTGCTTTTTAAGGCATTCTTTTCCTCATTGGTTTTTTGGACCTCTTTTGCCATTTGGGTTAGTCTATTTTTTAAGGTGTTATTTTCTTCAGTATTTTTTTGGGTCTCCTTTAGCAAGCTGTTGACTCATTTTTCATGATTTTCTTGCATCACTCTCAGATTTTCCCCTACTTCTCTTACTTGCTTCTCAAAATCCTTTTTGAGCTCTTCCATGGCCTGGGACCAATTCACATTTTTGTGGAGGCTTTGGATGTAGGAGTTTTGACTGTGTTGTCTTCTTCTGGTTCTATGTTTTGATCTTCTTTGTTACCAAAGAAAGATTCTATGGTCTGATTCTTTTTGTGCTGCTTGCTCATGATCCCAGTCAATTATTTGGGCTGTTATAAACTCTTTGTTAAGGTAGGAGTCTGCTTTCAGTGTGGAGAATGTACTGTCCCAAGCTTCAGGGGTTTTGTGCAATTGTTTTCAGAGATACTTCTCGGGACCTGAAAAATTTCAGTTCTTCCAAGGTGCTATGATGAAGGGCAAGGTGTTTACTCCTTTCCTGGCCTGTGCTCTGGTCTATGAGTGACCACAAGCACTCTTTTCTGTCTTGGAACTGTGAGGAGGATTTTCTCTCCACCGCCACTATAAGCTACACTACACCAGCACTCCTCCTTGCCCTAGGACCGCCACCCAGAATGTGACCCAGATCCAAGCATGGGCAAAGCAAGAGAATCCTGCACCAGTAGAGATCCCTGCAATCCTCCTCTGATCAGCCACTTGCTTCTCCTCAGTCTGTGTGCCAGAAGCTCTGCAGGCAGCTGCTGCCCCAGAGCCTTGCTTGGGGAATGGGGCTGGGACCACCCCTGTGCTTCTCTCTCTCACAGCAGACAGACTTTTCCTACTGAACTTCTGAATTGTCTTTAGTGTTTATGGGTTGAGAAGTCTGGAAACTGCCACAGCTGCCTGCTATTCAGTCCTCTGAGGCCTGCTCTAGGTTTGCTGCGGCCTGTGCTGCCTGTGTGTCCACGCCAAACTGTGCTCCTCTCCCAGCCTGGCACGATATACCTTTTCAATCAACCATCCAGGTTGTCTTGGGCTGGAAATTTGTTTCACTTTGTCTTTTTGTGGGTTCTGCTGCTTTAGAATTTGTTTAGAGTCATTTTTAACAGGTATTTGGAAGGGTTTAGGGGACAGCTCAAGCAAGTCCCTGCTTTTACTCCGCCATCTTGGCTTTGTCCCCGAGTCCTCAATAATTTTTAAGAGGGGGCCTGAGACCAAAAAGTTTGAGAACTAATGGTGAGGGAATCCCTGGTGAAAAAATTTCCCCTACAATGCATAGTGGCAACTGTTTTTCAACTCTAAAGTCTTAAAAACTTGAATGCCTGAAGAAAATGATTCAGAGATTCACAGAGATTCTGTTACATGTCTCTAAGGAACATATGCCCCCACATAATTCAGGCTTTAACTTTAATACTAAGTTACACAAAAAAGTAAATATTGTTCCATTTATATTTTAATCTACCATAATGTGAAAACACACATTTTAATTATTCAATAGACACAAGACAAATTTGGTCTTTGAGACAATGATTTTTATTATTTTAAGTCTTCTATTTGGCAATCTCAAATATACTCATTTTAAAGAGTTTGAATGAAGTATTTACATAAGGAATAAGATCCTGAAAAGCTTACAAAATATCACTGTTCTACTGACTTGTATTCAGCATTTAGAAATATTATGCATATTTCCTTCAGTTTTAAGGCATAACCTGGCCATTTTAAATAGAAGATCCTAATGATATGCTAGCTTCTCTTAAGTATTATAAAATAGTAGCACTGGAGCAAATTTCTGTGTTTTCCATTAAAAAAATATAACATAGCAAAGTGTGAAATACTGAAAAAACTAAAGTAATTATCAAAAATAACACAACACAGGTATTTATTTTCCTGTAGGTCACAACTTTTGGAAACACCAATTTTAATTACTATTCATGAAAAAAGATTAGGGTACATTTTAAAGTTTACATTCAACTCTACATTATCCTACATTGGATGATTCTCTTTTCAGATTATTTGCAGAGGGCACCAAGAAGACAATGGTTTCTACTTCATTTTTGTAATGTGAGGTCAGTGGCCTCAAAAACCAGAAGTCAGAAGTGGAGCCTAACTAGAGAGCCCAGGAATTCTTTATCTCCTACTCTAGCTTAACATCTGAGAAAGATCTTTTATACAACAAGTAATTAAAGTCTTCCCCCAACCCTCAGACTGTGCAAACAACGAAATCTGTAAACTTAAGAATGTGAAAGGACAGTTCTGGTGATGGCCAACTGAGTGACATAATAATGCGGTCACTCCCAGGATGAAAGAGCAAAAAGAGGTGATCAGTGGGCTAAGTAGTATAGGAGGTAAAAGCTGAGTCTCTTTCTAGTAAAGTCTGATTTTCACACAGCTTATTTTAATTCAATTTAGCAAATATTTATTGAAAGTTTTACAAATTCTCAAAGTCTCATACATAGCCAGTTAAGTATAAAAATGCATTTCAGAAACAAATGTAAATGATTTTAGGGTCATCTATTTAACTTGTCTCTATCACTTGTTCAGATAATTAAAAAAAATAGACATAATTAGAATACAAACTGAAATATCAAATAGCATAAATTATTTTTTTTTAAAATAAGCTGCTTTAAAGGCTCAATACACAGTAGGACCCCATATGCAATCTCATATATACTTTGGGGTACAATTTTTCATTTAAAAAAATTCATTATTAATAAAAACAGCTTGTTCTTAGATCCTATGCAAGACATATAAATGAATATTTAGTGACACATACCTCAAAGCTTAAGTACCTAGAGACCTATTTTGATACTAGCCAATGAATAACCCCTCATTTTTCATTCTCAAACTGAATTTTGCACCTTTATTATACCAAATCTTCTTTGACGTTGGAGAAAGAAAACAGTAACATGAACAATTCTCTAAAACTAATTTTAAAGTAGACAAACAGAAGCACAAAAGTCTAATGCAAATTTAACTAATTTTTTGGTCCCTAGTACAAAGCAGACTGGGCTTTTTCAGGTACATTTTTCAAGTTTCAGAAACAGCAGCTTTTTTTAAAGATGCAATATAACTATTCTAATTTATTTTTCTTTTAACTATTGCATTCAAACCCAGATGGGTCAGTTTCAAACCTAAGGCATTTTGGAATCTGAAAAAATTTAACAAGGATATCACCTTCATTTGCAAGGGCAATATAAAGCGCAATCTCACAAACTCACATTCTCATAGTCAAACTGAACAAAAGACATATAATTTTCTAGTTTTGAATTCCAAAGTGAATAGTCATTCCAGCATATGTAAACTGTAAAATTTTCTTTTAAAGTAGTATCAACACAATAAAGTACATTTATCATATAAAAATACAATATAAACTATGGGTTACTTGTTTATTCCCTGACGGAGAATCCACAATTTTTGGACACAAAAACTGTAAACTTTTGATTACATTCAAAATGCAACCTTTTTAAAGATTTCAGTTATCTGAGGTTTTGGCAGTTGGAGCTGTGTACAGAAGATTTATATTATTGCAAAATCTTTTATATAACATTTCTAATTAAGGGCAAGAGTCCAGTGTTTTTCATCTTACATCAGCTACCAGGAAGAAAAGAAAGGCTTCCTACAATTCACGGTCTGTGTGAATGAATTATTCAAATGGACAATCCGGCCCTGACTTCCACTCTGACTTCGTTCCACAATCACACGCGGCATTTGTACCAGCTGAAGAGGACTCTTTCCATCTTTTAATGCTTGAGTAAGGTTTAAAATCTATAGAAAGACATAATAAGCAATAACAAAATCTTTCAATTAACATTTTCCATTATTTGGCCACATACAATTTCCATTTTTTTTTTTAATCCAAAATTCTGGCAAGCAGCCATTCTTTTGAAAAGAAGAATCACCGGGTTCACCAAATCTCATTTTATCTTGAATTGACATGAATAATAGGAAAGTTTTATATAATTAGCTGTCTAAACTATAGGATCTCATGAAAATGATCATTTTTGGAAGTGATATCATAATCTGAATAGCTCAAAAATCTTTGAAAAACAGAAAATATTCCCTCAACTATGAAAAAAATCCTGATGTAGTAACTGAACAACTTCAAGAACTTCTAAAATAAAGTGAAGAATCAATTGGAGAATGGTTAAACAAGTTGTAGTATATGACTGTGATGGAATACTATTGTGCTATAAAAAATGATGAACAGGATGGGTACGGAAAAACCCAGGAAGACTTATATGAATTGATGCAAAGTGAACAAAACCAGAAGAACTTTGTACACAGTAACAGTAATATTTTAATGAAGATCAACTGTGAAAGACTTAGCTATTCTGATCAAGACAATGATCCAAGACAATTCCAAAGGACCCATGATGAAAAATACTTTCCACCTCCATAGAGAAAAACTGAAGAACTCCCAGTGCAAATTGAAACATTCTTAAACTTTATTTTTCTTGATTTTTTATAACATTGCTAATATAGAAATGTTCTACATGACTTCACATATATAACGCATACCATAATGCTTGTTCTCTCAATGGGTGGGGGAGGGGCTGGAAGGAGGGAGAAAATTTGGAACTCAACATAAAAAATGTTAATAATCAATTTTTAAAAAAAGAACTTCCAAAATATTTCAAAGGAACAATAAAGAAATTAAAATTACTAGCTATGTGACCCGCAAGTCACTTAACCCTAATTGCCTAAGAAAACAAACAAAAAAAAAGAAATTAAAAGAGGTGCCAAATCAAAAGGAAGAAATGAACAAACAGGACAGTAGAAAATCTGGAAAAGTAACCTCTTCAAAATAGCAGATTCTCTGAAAAAGAGAACAGAAGAGTTTGAACTAAAAAACTGCAGCAATGGAAAAAAAGTCATCAGAACAAAGTCCAAAAACAAGAAGTCTCAATGAAAACATAATATCTCTCTACAAGCCAAAGCAATTGACCTTGAAGAAACAATGTACAGAGACAATCTGAGAATCACAATTCTTCTAGAGAAACATAATGAAATAAAGTTTGAATGCTTCAGAAAATTTGCATGGTAATACAAAGTACAGTTTAAAAGATTCCTCAGGTGGTCAAATGTGAGAAAGCACAAAATTAACATACCAAGAAATGTTGTAATTAAACTTTGGAAACAAATATTGTAGTCCATTAGTTAACAATATGATCTGAATCATCTATGTCTACTCTTAGATAATGAGAAATGTACTATTTTTTCAATTATTTAGATCTGACTTTATTTGTGTGAAAAGTCTTTTGTAATTGTGTTCACATAGTTCCTGAGTTTGTTTTGGCAGGCAGACTCCCAAATATTTTTATGATGTTTACAGGAACTTTAAATAGAATTTCTCTATCTCTTGTTGTTGGGCTTTCTTAATAATAAATAAAAATGTCGATGATTTATGTGGGTTTATTTTATATCCTGCAACTCTGCTAAATTTGTTTATTATTTCAAGTAATTTTTTACTTGACTCTTTAGGATTCTCTAAGTATACCATCTATCATCTGCAAAGAGTGATAGGTTTGTTCCTTCTTGGCCTATTCTAATTCCTTCAATTTTCTTTTTCTTCTCTTATTGGTAAAGCTAACATTTCTAGTACAATATTGAATAACAGTGGAGATGATGGACATCCTTGTTTCACTCTGATTTTATTAAAAATGCTTCTAGCTTATCTCCATTATATATAATGCTTGCTGATGGTTTTAGATAGATGTTACCTATCATTTTAAAGAAGACTCCATTTATTCCTATGCTTGCTAGCGTTTTTAATAGAAATGGGTGTTGTATTTTGTCAAATGCTTTTTCTGCATCTATTGAGATAATCATATAATTTGTTAGTTTTGTTGTTGATATGGTCAATTATGCTGATCATTTTCCTAATAGTGAACCAGCCCTGTATTCCTGGTATAAATCCTACCTGGTCACATTGTATTATCCTAGAAATTAGTTGCTGTAATCTCTTTGCTAATATTTTATTTAAAATTTTTCATCTATATTCATTAGGGAAATTGGTCTATAATTTTCTTTCTCTGTTTTGGCTCTTCCTGGTTTAGGTATCAGCATGATATTTGTATCATAAAAAGAATTTGGTAGGACTCCTTCTTCACCATTTCCCCAAATAGTGTATGTAGTATTGGAATTAATTGTTCTTTAAATGTTTGATAGAATTCACTTGTAAATCCATCTGGCCCTGGAGATTTTTTCTTACGGAGTTCACTGATGGCTTGTTCAATTTCTTTTTCGGAAATGGGGTTATTTAAGTATTTTATTTCTTCTTCCCTTAATTGGGTAATTTATATTTTTGTAAATATTAATTCATTTCACTAAGATTGGGGCAGCTAGGTGATTCAGTGTATAGAGTACCGGCCCTGGAGTCACGAGGACCTGAGTTCAAATCCGGCCTCAGACACATAACACTAGCTGTGTGACCCTGGGCAAGTCACTTAACCCCCATTGCCTAACCAAAAAAAAAAAAAAATCCTAGAACTCATCTCACTAATATTATCAAATTTAGTGGCATAGTTGGGCAAAATAGCTCCTAATTATTGTTTTGATTTCTTCTTCATTGGTGGTAAATTCACCCTTTTCATTTTTGATGATGGTAATTTGGTTTTTTTTTAAATCTAATTAACAAAAGGTTTATCTATTTTGTTTTATTTTTTTTTTCATAAAACCAGCTCTTAGTTTTATTTATTAGTTCAACAGTTTTCTTAATTTCAATTTTATTAATCTTTCCTTTGGTTTTCAGAACTTCTAATTTGGAATTTAATAGGTAATTTTTAATTTCTTCTTTTTCTAGCTTTTTTAGTTGCATGCCCAATTCATTGATCTCTTTTTTTTTTCTATTTTATTCTTGTAAGCATTTAGAGATATAAAACTTCCCGTAAGAATCACTTTAGCTGCATCCCGTAAGTTTTGGTATGTTGTCTCATTATTGTTATTCTCTTGGACAAAGTTATTGTTTCTATGATTTGTTGTTTGAACCACTCATTCTTTAGGTTTAGGTTATTTAGCTTCCAATTAATTTTTAGTCTATCTTTCCATGGCCCTTTATTACTTGTAATTTTTATTGCATCATGATCTTAAAAGGGTGCATTTAGTATTTCTGCCTTTCTGAACTGAATTGTGAGGTTTTTATGCCCTAGTACATGGTCAGTTTTTGTGCAGATGTCATGTACCACTGAGAAAAAGGTATATTCCTTTCTATCCTCATTCAATTTTCTCCAGAGGTCAACCATATCTAACTTTTCTAAAATTCTATTCATCTCCTTAATTTCTTTTTTGTTTATTTTGTGGTTAGATTTATCTAGTTCTGAAAGAGGGAGGTTGAGGTCCCCCACTAGTATAGTTTTGATACCTATTTCTTCCTGTAGCTCCCTAAACTTCTCCTCTAAGAATCTGGATGCTATACCACTTGGTGCATATGTTTAGCAATGGTATTACTTCATTGTCTATGGTACCTTTTAGCAAGATGTAGTTTCCTTCCTTATCTTTTTGAATTAGATCTATTTTTGCTTTTGCTTTGTCTGAGATTAGGATTGCTAGCCCTGCTTTTTTTACTTCAGCTGAAGCATAATATATTCTGCTCCAGCCTTTTACCTTTACTCTATGTGTATCCCTCTGCTTCAAATACGTTCTTGTAAACAACATATTGTAGGATTATGGTTTTTAATTCACTCTACTGTCTGCTTCTATTTTATGGGATAGTTCATCTCATTCACATTCATAGTTATGATTACTGTGTCTTTCTCTTTTTTCTCTCTCCTTTCTCCCTTTTCCTCTTCACTAGAGTTTTGCTTTTGAATATCACCTCCCTCAGTTTGCAGTTCCTTCTATTCGCCCCCTCCCTTTTTCTTTTCCCTTTCCCCTCCTACTTCCTATAAGGTAAGTTAGATTTCTATACCTAACTGATTATGTTATTATTTCTTTAAACCAAATCTGATGAGAGTAAGATTCAAACAATGCTCATCTCCCTCCCTTCTTTCCCTTTACTCCACTCTCCCTTTCTCTTCCCAGTATAATCCTCTCACCCCTTAATTTTATTCTCCAGATATCACCCCTTCATCTTCAACTCACCCTGGGCCCTCTATTTATCTGTCTATGTATCTATATATATACACACATATAATTTTTTTCCTTCCAATTACTCTAATACTGAGAAAGGACTCATGAGTTACAAATATCAACTTTTCATGCAGAATGTAAACAGTTCAACCTTAATCAGTTTCTTATGATTTCCCTTTCCTGCTCACCTCTTCATGTTTCTCTCGAGTCTTGTATTTGAAAGTCAAATTTTCTGGTCAGCTCTAGTCTTTTCATCAAGAATGCTTGAAAGTCCTCTGTTTCACTGAATATCCATTTTTTTCCCCTGAAGGATTATACTTAGTTTTGTTGGGTAGATGATTCTTGGTTGTAATCCTATCTCCTTTGCCTTCCAGAATATTATATTCCATGCCTGCAGTCCCTTAATGTAGAAGCTGCTAAATCTTGTGTTATCCTGATTGTGTTTCCACAATATTTGAATTGTTTTTCTGGCTGCTTGCAATATTTTCTTCTTGACCTGGGAACTCTGGAATTTGACTATAATATTTCTAGGGGGTTTCCTTTGGGGATCTCTTTCAGGAGGTGATGGGTGGATTCTTTCAATTTCTATTTTGCCTTTTGGTTCTAGAATATCTGGGCAGTTTTCCTTGATAATTTCTTGAAAGATGGTGTCCAGGCTCTTTTTTTGATCATGGTTTTCAGATAGTCCAATAATTTTT